GTCTAACCGTAAACTTTACCTTTCCCTGGTGCACATCCTTCCACCACAGGAGGTTGTTTAATTATCTTTTCTTAAAAAAAAAAAAAAAAAAAAAAGGCATACTATCAGCTTGCGTCATTCACTTTTGACCACCTTTACACCACAGTTCTTATATTCTATCCAGCATTGCAAAACTGATTGAGCCCTTTTCATTGCTTATGCCTTTGTATTGCTAAACTGTGTAAAGAAACCGATCACTAAATTCTTCATACATTTTCTTAAAAAAAAAAACCTAAAAATCAAGTTGCATATGTTGTTCATATGAATTTTGTTTGAAACGTTTAATTAAGGAGCATTGACATCACACAATGTTCAGAAGACTGAATCCTATTGGGAGAAATATTTCCTTCACAAGAGAATGTAAGACTATCGTAGTTCCTTGTCGTTTTTTTTTCCTAGTTTGGTGGAGACAGACAAGCCTTTGATGCTACTGTGAGACAACTGATGTCACGATGGCCAAAACAGAGATGTTCATACTTACAAGCGATTTGTGATGAAATTTACAGTATCAAAATGGAAAAGAGGTAAATTTGTTAAGCTCTTAAAGGTACATAAAACATCTCAATTACTTCTGCATTCAAACTTTACTAAATAAGCTGCTCTTAATTTGTCCTTCCCTTTCCCTGAGCAAAAAAAAATATTCAGGAAATGTGTATAGTTCCTTGAGTACTATGGGAAGAGTCTGCTGGTCATCTAATCCTCACTTGTAGTAAAATGTCAATTCTTGGCCATATAAATTCTTCATTTTTACAAGCCTTTTCAAGAAATTCTAAAATGTATTCCCACTGTTATCTTATTTGCTGCTTTGTTCATAAAACTGAATAGCAAACTACGATATACATTCAGGTATACTGTTATTTTACTTACATAGTAACCCTCTTTTCTCATGGGGAGGACTCAGCTTGCTTTTTAAAACTCACAAGCACATTTAATTGCTCCTGCTTTGAAGGAATAAGATGGGAATCTGGCACAGCTGACAGACTGCCCAGCTTTAAGCAAACACAGTGCATGCTCTCCCAGCATGTACAGTAAAGCCCATTTCTCTTTTCTAAGCATAAAAACATTTATGTTCAACTTGTAATCTCCTTGTTGGATTCTGGTAAGCCGGAAACAGATAGTCTGGGCCCATCTAGTTTTAAGCCTCAAATTTTCAACTCTTGCATGTACTGGTACAGTTAAGTGAGACCTGGGTATTTATGTCCTACTGTGGGTTTCATTTATAATACATTTTCTTAAACCTCTATGTTTAGCTTGAAGGTACTACTTAACCTTTAAATGAGACTAAAAATTGACTTTGATTCCTTTTTGTTAGAGATGCAGCAAAATTGCTTCAGGTTTGCTAATGTTTACTAAGACAACTGAATACCAAGTACAACATTTTTTTTTTTATCCTGTGGCTTGCAAGGCTGTGAGCAACAGAACCCAATTACTATATATGAATAATATTCCCTGCAGTGTTGGGTGTGAATGTAAGGCAGTTCCTGACGAAGCCTTCTTTTCCCATTTGATGCCTGCACACAGAATGCTGCTTAGCCATAAGCCTTGAGATCACTGAATGAAAACTGAACAGGCTAGATAAATGGAAAGAGAATGAAGGGGAAAATTGCAGTCACAGCCAAAGGAACTAAAACTTAACTGCTTTTCTACTGAAACTTTGCTGTTAGCTTATTGCTAAGATTTGCCACAGGTATTGTAGATTTTGAACTTGCAGTTTCAGAGTTTAAAAAGTCTCTCTTTTCCTTCCCTCGGCAGGGTTCCTGCACTTATCCTGTACAGTTACCGAGAGGAATACAAGGTTCTGTTTTAGTGCTTAAAGCATCTTTTATGGGATGCTTTTACTAACAGACAACAGCGTTTTGTCAAAAGGAATTTCAAAAAGCTGTAATAATGCAAGACAGGCAACTAATGCCTTTTTATGTGTCCAGATTGAATTTCATGTGTAATATAAAGCTGTGAATTTATGTCAAAAAGTGGAAATGATGTTTTATAGGCAATTAGGGAGCAAGTCTGACCACAGCCACAGCTATATATGATCATGTAATTCTTGCCCCTTATGCCACAAAAGAGATGATCAACTGTGCAGGTGTAAAACTACTTTTTTAATTGTTTCAGAATGCCTTGTATGTCAGTATGCAACAGTAGTACTGAAATGAGAAACTCAGTTCAAGGATTAGAGAGGATGAATTACCTTCAACTCTAACAAACCATTTTAAACTTTTTTGAAGAAATGTTTTTATGTAATAAAAGGTTTGGCTACTGAGCCTTCTTGAAATATTTATTACAAGCTTTTTGTGTGTTTTTTTTTTTTTTTAATCCTACTGTTTTAATTTCTATATAAAAGGTGGTAGATTTCAAGCTGATAGAGTTGTTGCAAGCCTGGCTGCCTATGCTTGTCCTGCCTGTACTTTTTGCATTCAGATCAAGCAGCAGCTTCCTGGGAGATGAAGTAAGACATGATACAGGAAGAACTAAATACCTAAAGCACCTAAACCTAAGACTGTTAAGAGAAACAGAGGCACAATTAAAGCTTGAAACTAGCTTTCTTCACATGGGTAGTCAGATTAAGTTTGAAGTTAAAGTCATAGTAATGATGGGAATCTTAAAATTATCTTCTTGAAGCTAAACTGTAACACAGCCCCATCAGGAAAAGTAAAGTTGAGCAAATCTGAAGATGAGTTACAGCAGCCATAGTTAACTATGCATTATATTTCACATCAAACTACATATAATACTGGAGTGAATATACAGAAAAGTTTGGGATTTTTGGAAATACACTGATGTTTACCCTCCCTCCCCACGTGGTACCTTCTGTTTAAAAAGCTTACCCCCGTTTCTTTCTCTAACTCAAATGATTGCCTTTAGCACTGCAGACTCATTGCATTAAGAAATACTTAACTTACTTTTTCTGCCCCTTTCTTGTAGTAAAGAGGAGGGCAAAGTTAAAATATGTAAAGAGGTAACTTTAAAGACAAACCCAAGAACTTCTGAGAATTGTGGAAGTTGTAACAGCAACACACAAAGTAGCATCAGGGGAGGCAGTCCTAAAGGCACAGATAACTGTACCATTCCTAGCAATTCACCAAGACAAGTCACATCACTCATTACAACCAAATCCATTTCTCATTGTGTTTAATAGGAACAATTAAGTATTCACCTTTTGCATCTGCTCATATGAAGGAGCTACTTTAAGATGTGAAGTATGGGGAAATTCAGATCCCTGACTATACTGAAGGATGAAGCTTTTTAAAAAAAAAAAAAAAAGAGTTCAGGTGACATGAGCATTTTTAAGCCATATCTGAAGGGAACATGATGCAGAGTCCTGCCCTCCCCCCACCCTGAGCCAGGGTCAGCACAGCTGGATCAGCATGGAGCAAAGGCACAGCTGCCTGGTTCTGCAAGCACTCAAGCGCTGTGCTGGCTGCCTTAAGGATATCCGCACTGCATCATGTAGACATGTCCCTCAGAATAAGAAACAGGAAAGCTGCTGTTCCTGGTAATACATTGGCACCCACTTTCCCTAGTACTACTGAGGCTTATCTGTAAAGCTGGGCATCTGTCACTGAGACTCCTGCTCCAGTCTTACTGTGCTCCTGGTACGGTGCATTTCTCTTCACCCTGTTACCCCCCAAACAGGTTTTACACTGCCCACTTGTATAATACAAAACAAACAGCAGTATACATACAAAAATTGTTGGCAGCTGAGTGTAAAGCTATTTCAGCGTAACCCTGTAAATACTCCTGCCATACAACAATCCACAGAAAGCACCTTCTCTCAGTTTAAACAAAAGTACGGATCACATTCCAGTATCCTGCTGGAAGGAAAGCCAAAGACAAGTGGTAACTCAAAAAGAAATGGACTTTGCTTTGAGCAAGGGTCAAGTCTGTTATAGTGATGGTAGGACACTATTCCATCACTGTGTTGCTTTACTCTTCTTGTTTTTGCTTTTCTTGTCTTTTTTCTTCAAGCCATCCATGTTAGCTCTCAGCAAATTTGAATATGCCTGAAACAACAATTGGAACCATTAAAAGAACAAATACTTAAGTGACAATATACTAGAAGTAACATTTCACATATTGCTAATGAATAGGTATCTGCATTTTCTCAGTTAGAGAATCATGCTCTTTCTTACACCCTACACTGGGCATCTACTGTTTCTAAACCAATGCAGAAAGTTAGATAAAATACAACCGTTTGGGCGTTTTTTTAATAAATGCAGACAGGTGGGTATTTTAAGGTTAATCTGTATGCCAGTCCAGCACTGAGTCAACCCATTCACAGCTGTCCAGCGCTTCCTACTGACCACTCCCCAATACCTACAGAAAAGGAAGATAAAAAGCATACAAAACTTACTTACCATCTGGAATTTATTTACTTCCTTTGAGCTCACCTACAAAAGTAAGACTGGAGGTTAACCAAGAAAACACTGGCTTCTATTACAAACCAAGTATCAGTACATGTTTACCCACCAGTAACCATCTAGCCTTTTTAGCAGCGGTTGGATCGACTCATCACATTCAGCGGTAGGTAGGCTGTACTGGTATGTCATAGGACCTCACTGATTTAGAAAACTGAAAACACTCCTTACTTGTTGATTAACAAAATCCTCTGGAGGCCATTCGTCCCAAATCCATGTGTTTTCAAATGGAAGAGATGTGAGGAAACATTCTAAGGAAGGTTTTATTTACTTGTAGGGCCATAAAAATATGTTGCAGCCCAGACTCTCTCACCTATTTCTCAAAGTAACATTTTTCCTTGGGTTACATCACAGAGGAGAGCTTGTCAGCCAAAGCCTTTCCCCATCTCTCATTCAAAGTAAACACAAATTGGGTTTTCAACTTTTAATTAACATTTCCTGAAATACAAATAGCTCCGCAAATGAAAAAAAAAAAATAGGTATGCTAAGCAAGATTACAGCTTAGGAGAGCCTACCCAGGTCCACACATTCTTGCCAGGAAACAAGGATCCCTTTCCTACTGTTTCACAGTCTGGGAACATTCAGTTCTTCCCTGGGTTGCAAGAACCTTCAGTAATTCCATCGAGGTCTATCGGGAACTACCCCTTTGGCAGGCACCTGAGGCCTGGGTGTAGGCGTGCAGGACCTTTCTTCTCCTTGGAGCCATACCATTTGTCTTCATACTACAGGTTCCATATCTGCCCTGCGTCCTTCTGCCCACGTCCCAGAAGCAGTTGCCCCCTCCCTTCCAAACAATTTCACCTGACTCAAAACACAACAGCCACAGTTGGTGAAAACAGGCAGAGTCCCTTTCTGCTGTCCTGCAGCACCATTCTTTCTGAAGCAAAATCTAGCATACAGAGCAAAACTATCAATCAACTGTCCCATCTGAAATGCTGAGTGTAAGCATTACGACTTCAGGTAAACATGACGCTTCTGCATCCCAACTTCAGCTGTGTGTTTAGCTACCATATGGTTTCTCTGGAATTAAGAGGGTAGTTCTCATGAAATTCATGGAAAGACAAATTTCACTTAAAATATGGGGCATTAAATAAAAGACAAGTAGGGCCACTGATCTTTCTAATCCAAAGTTGTCACTTACCACTGTGCTAATTTTCTTCTTTCCATCAGTTGCTCTTAGAAGACACTTATTGTCTGCTGGTTCAAAACTTTCTACGTGGCCTTTGCGTGGGACTGGTTTTGTTCGGCCATCATCTGTATTGAAAGACAGAGAATGTTTATTCATATTTCACTAAAATCACCAGATTCCTCCTGACATGAGATGTTAAAAATTGCTGCTGAGGAGACCTGTAAAACACCTTGGAATTTAAGGCCATCTGAACCGACATGGCCGCCAAAGTGTTCACAGACGCCTTCCTGTGTAACCCCAGAAGGATCTATTCCATAAAGTACATCTGCCAGGAAAAAAAAAAATGTAAATCCTTGCCCTGACATGCTGTACAAACTGCCTGCCTCAGCAGCAGTCTGTTTTAAATGCATGTCAAACGGCGGCCTAGGACACTTGACTTCTCAAGTAGTGCGAGCTAGCCAGAAACCAGAGAGACATAAACACGCAAAAGCAACACTGTAATTCTCCTTTTATAGAACTCTAAGGATTTCCAATTACTGTTTAACAGTTAGGAAGTCCCAATATTTTCTGCAGTGTGAAATACAGTCTTGCTTCAAGGTTATTAGTACTGCAGCTAAGATGATTGATTTGTCCATACAACTACTCTTCTTTTCAGATACTCTGAACTACAACTGCATCTTTTCAAATACACGCTACCAACACTAAGTTTGATTTAGATGAGCACCTCTTTAATCCAGTAACTGACTTAAAACTTACATTTCTTCAGCGTTATGAAAACACTCCCCGAAGTTCTGCACTTTTGAAAGAGCCTGGTAAGCTCTGTCAGGAACTGCAAGAGAAAGAGACCCCATCCTTGGCTGGAGGCCACCGCACAGGCGAGTATTCCTTCTCCCCGAGCAGCCCAGCGAGTCGCCGCCCGGGGAGCCGCCCCCGCAGTTCCCACCGGCCGGGCTCTCCCAGCTCCGCGGGAGTAAGCACCCAGGAGAGGGGAGCGCCCGGGTTCCCCCACGCTGAAGCTGCGGGACGCGAGGTCCCGGCCGGGGCCGGTCCAGCCCGAGGTTCTGACTCGGGAACGCGAGCTCTGAACTCCCCGGGCCTACGGCG